AAAGCTTCTTTTTCTGCCTTATAAAACATTGTCTCATGATTGCCTGGACTTGAGTGTGGCAAATAGAATGATTTAAAATGTTTGGAATAGACTGAATTATTTATCTTTGTTCTAAACTTTGCATATAGTTGATGCACTGATCGATGTCCCTTTATGCTGCCTGTTTTATACACACTTAAAGTCACAGCATGATACTGGGGCACAAAGGATGCAGTTGAAATAAAACTTCATGGTTAAGCTACCTACAGCATAAAGCAACAAATCAGCAAACTCTGATCTAAAGTGCCAAGATCTGTAGCTGCTCAAAATACAAGGAGGTGATCAGTGGTCACAGGAATACTCTGCTGACCAGAGACAGGACCTGAGGAAACAGCATGGAGCTGTGTTGGGAAGGTTCAGGTTAGATATTAGGCAAAGGTTCTTCCCCCCCAGAGAGTTATTGGGCCCTGGAACAGCTCCCCAGAGCAGTGGTCACAGCCCCAAGCCTGACAGAGCTCAGTAAGTAGACAGTGCTCTCAGGCACATGGTGGGATTGTTGGGGTGTCTTGTGCAGGGCCAGGAGTTAAACTTTGATGATCCTTGTGGATCTCTTCCCAGCTGAGGGTACTCTGATTCTGTGAGGACTCTGTAACACAACTTTATTTCCCAGGCACTTTGAGCCACTGAGTTACATGAGTGAGGTGTGAGTGAGACGCTGGCACTGCCCATTCCCTGAGGGCCAGTTTGTGAGGTATCTGTGTGCCAGGACTCCCTTAGGAGAAGCGAACAGTTTTGTTCAGCCGCAGTAGTGTCATCATTTTGCACCATGAGCCTGCTGTAGGTGTTCATGTGCCCATAGATAGAACATTGATGTACGAAGAACCTGGGAATTGCAGCCTTTTGCATCATTTCTTTCAGGTATTTGGAGAAGAGGGTTTGAGCCTGAACGTGGAAGACATTCAGCCTCATGACTTTGGTAAAGTTGGAGAGGTCATTGTGACCAAAGATGACACCATGCTGCTAAAGGGAAAGGGTGAGAAGGCTCAGATTGAAAAACGTATTCAAGAAATTATCGAACAGCTAGAAGTTACCACCAGTGAATATGAGAAAGAGAAACTGAATGAGCGATTGGCCAAACTCTCTGATGGAGTAGCAGTATTGAAGGTATTCAGAACTTGATGAAATAATCAACTCTTAACTGTGTTTAGGCTTCTCGAGTGCTGCGGCACAGAAGATAAGTGCCGGTATGGGAGAGGGTGGGGTTGGTATTATGGCACTTGTCGATGCTATTGGTTGTTTAACTCGGTGGCAGCAGTGACACAGCCAAGCAGTGCGTTCCCACCCAGCTCCTTGTGTGGACCCTGACATGTGGCTTGCTGCCGGCAGGTTGGTGGGACGAGCGATGTTGAGGTTAACGAGAAGAAGGACAGGGTGACTGATGCGCTGAACGCAACGCGCGCGGCGGTGGAGGAGGGCATCGTGCCGGGTGGCGGCTGCGCCCTGCTCCGCTGCATCCCGGCCCTGGACGCCCTGGCTCCAGCCAACGAGGATCAGAAAATTGGTAAGGAATTACTTCAGAGTGTGTGTGTGAGGGATATGAGTAGATTTTCTCTTGCCTTGAGGCTTTATCAGATTAAATGCAGATTGTTTTCAGTGCGTTTTTAGTTCCTTTATTTCAGGAACGTCACTTTGCCTTGGTGTGGTGGTCTCTGCTTTACAACGGGAAGGAGCTTTTTCTGTGTCCCTGGGAAAGACTCAGTGACAGTAGAGCAGCAGGCCCCTCTGCATTAGAGCTGAGACCTGTCACAGCTGTTGCAGACAGACATAAAACCTAAGAACACTAAAAAAAGGGATGGTGTGGAAAATGGAATGGTAAAAGGCTTTGTGACGTGTTGCAGTAATAGTACTCCTTGCTATGCTTTGCAGAAGCAAAATTAAAATGCGCGTGAATATCCTGCAAGGATTTAATTTGTTGACAAATGTCAAGTAGCAGAGAGCTTTTCCCCCTGGAACTGATAAAAATACCTCACGTTTCTGCTCAGAGGGTTCTCTGTATTTATCTCCAGCACGTGCAGGCATTCTTGTATGCAGTGGGAGCAGTGTATGTAGCAGAGCTCTGACCATCCTTTTCCTTGCAGGCATTGAAATAATCAAGAGAACACTGAAGATCCCAGCAATGACCATTGCAAAGAATGCTGGTGTGGAAGGATCATTGATAGTTGAAAAGATTCTGCAGAGCCCATCAGAAGTTGGCTATGATGCAATGCTTGGGGACTTTGTAAATATGGTAGAAAAAGGAATCATAGACCCAACAAAGGTAACCTAAAAGTCCTGATTCTGAGCTCTCTCTCCCTCCCACCTCCTGTGACAGTCAGCAGGCACTGAGCTATTGCCTCCCTATTTTTAGGTTGTGAGAACTGCCCTGATGGACGCCGCAGGTGTGGCCTCTCTCCTCTCCACAGCAGAGGCAGTGGTGACTGAGGTTCCTAAGGAAGAAAAGGAGCCAGCAATGGGAGGAATGGGTGGGATGGGCGGAGGGATGGGAGGTGGCATGTTCTAACTCCTGGGACAGGGATGCATCATGAGCTGTGCTGGTGAAGACTGACAGTTCTGACTTCAAACACTTGAGCTATCAGTGCGAGAGGGTGGAAATGACTGCAGTGAGGCTGGTGTGGATAAGAATCACTGTAACCATCAGTTACTGGATTTCATTTAACACACGTGTAATTGTTTACAGTCATTGTCCATGCCTACAGATAATTTATTTTGTATTTTTTGAATAAAGACATTTGTACATTCCTGATAACTGGGTGCAAGATCCATCTACCAAGGTCCTGATTTGAACTTAATTAAGGCACTTGATATTCTATTTCAGAATTTCTTGGTGCTTGCCAGTACTAGAAGGAACGTGGAAGCCACTGTGCTTGAGACTAGACAATTGTGTACAAAGTAGGCAAATAGAGTTATGTGACCTTTATGTAATAAACTGCTCAAAAGTTATGAAATGTATCACCTTCTTCATCTGCACACCAAGCCATAGTGATGGAGGGCCTGGACAGCCTGCCTGCTGCTGAGATTGCCTAGAAATTGACACTTATGCTTGAAACAATGACAGGGCATTTCCCTCGGGAAACATTCCTTTGCCTAGAATGTTTCTCAGAAATGCAAGTGACTTTAATTTTAGTAAGAAATATCTAAGCTGAACTGCAGTACAGTTCTTTGAAATATTAAACAATGCTCTGAAAACAAGGCACGTGCACTGACTTTATTTTGCCCTGTCTATGCTGTTGTTCCACGTGCTGGAACAGGCCCAATGCTCCTTTCACAGCCCCTTGGGAAGTGCCCTGAGGGTATCAAACAGGTAAGTCTTCGCTGAGAAGGGTTTCTCGGTTTTTGCATAGTTCCTTTGCTCAGGTATAGTATGTGGTTACCTCCTCACCTTGAGCCTTCCAGTCTTGCCTTCCTCCTTTCTGGTAATGGGCTGCAGGATGTAGTTATTTTGTACTAGATGCTGCTTTACCTTTAGAAATGTTGCTTTGCCATTTACTGTGTTCTTTGACCTGACACAGCAAAATAACATTGATGTGTAAAGTCTTTCCTGTTTTCCAAACTTCAGAACAATGGTGTTCCCAGACTTGTGTATGTTTGTCTATGTTTATCTCTGCCTCAGCAAACAAAATTGCTTTACAACTTCAGTGCTGTAAAACTGGCCTCAATCTGTCTGCCCCTTTCCCCAGCTTCCTTGCCTTACTAAGAACTACCCTTCACAGATGGGATGTATGACATTCCAATTGCTCTTTCTGGAAAAGTAAATGGTCTGAAACTGTTTCAGGGCTGTCTTTATTTCGAAACATTCCTTCCTATGCTATTTAATCTGCTGTTCTGTAGTAACTGTACAGGTACTTTGGAGAAAGGACCAACTTCAGCTCCTGACCTGAAGCTTCACCTCATTCCAGTAGGGAAATTTGGTAATGCAAGGCAGCATATAGTCAGGATTTAAAATCTGTTCAAACCTATTCACTTGCATTTCTTCAGAGACTGGAAAAGAGGATATTTATGTCAGGAACAGAAGTACTGAACATGGATTTAATCAAGACAGCTGGCACTATGGTAATGGGCTGATAATGAAATGGTATTCAAAAACCCCCAAGAACTAAGGTTAGTGCTCTCTCTCTGCCTTTTAGTGGCAGCTGGCCTGGCGTCTGCTTGTCTGGAGGAAGTGGAGGACATGGTCCCTGCTTCCAGGGAGGACAGCACTGTGGTATGTTGTTCTTAAGGAGGTAACACTTGTTTTTTCATTAGATGAGATGTAACTAACCTGAGTGCAATGTGTAACAGTGGAGCAGTGGTGGGGGGCAAGTTCAGCTGCAAACTCATCAGTGTCTGGAGCCCAGACAGACCCACTGGGAACCGCTGGCTGAGCCTGGTGCTCTCAAATTCCAGCACTCCCTGTGTGTATATCCTGCATTTCATTTGGGAAACCTGGGGCTGTTCTATAGCAGTTCCTACTCAGTTCAGGTGCAGCTGTAGACTCCTGCCTTGCCCCTGCCACTCGTATTTAAAGCATCCACTACTTAATGCCTGGCAAGCTGTCCCATTCTGTGTGAAGCCAGAATGGCAGTTGCCCTTTGCTTGGCCAGAGCTGGCTGAGTTGATGCCATTACGTTACACTCACACTACTAATAACTTAAACTTGAGTTAATATGTTACAGTGCTGAACAAACCCATGAGGTTGGATAAGGCACAGCTCTGGCTGTGATTACAGCAGCCGTTTGGCACGTTAAACAGCAGCCTGAGATATCTTGGGTTACAGGAACTGCCAGTTGTCTGTTACTGATAAGGCTTTAAGCTGCACTTGATTGCAGCTTGAACATTCTATGTACATCTGGCTGAGCAGGTGTGTTTAGTACAGTATAAAATCACACACAGCTCAGATAAATAGATGCCCCAGAAGAGGACAGGGCACCTCTGTACAAAGGAAGTGTACACAAGTTTGTAAGTGAGGTGGTTGCAGTTTCTCCTTACGTCTGATGAACCTCGTGCAGCATTAGCTCCCGAGGAATGCTGGTTTCTGGGCCGTGGAGTTTGGATGCTCTTCTTTCAAAGGCAGCAACCATCTGCTTCACCACTTCATCAAAAAACAGTGTGGCAAGGTTTGAGTGTAGAAGTGAACGAAATTCAAAAGAAATCTGTGTAAGAAAAGAGAATAATTATTTTTCTTGTCTCTGCTGTTGTGGTAAAATGCTGTTACAAATCAGCAACTCTAGTAAAGACTCTCCGGTGAAGTCTGAAAGTAAGGTGCGGGAGAAAGAACAGTTAAAACTGAGGTATAGGTGGGTGTGTCTGAAGAAAACCCTCCTTGGTCTGAGGGCTGTCTCCCTAGGCTTTTCAATTAGAAGAATACTTTATTCAGTTCTCTGAAATAATTACTTCCATTTATCTAAACGGTCTCTAATAAATGATGTATCAAACACAGATTCTGACAATATCTGATTTTGTGCACAGAATTCACTCGGGGACAAAAGTTGCGGAAAATCCTGCATGGCAAGACAGCAGGCTTACAGGTAAGCTGGAACATACCCAAGAGACTTCAAAGCAGCTTGAAATAGTTGCCTATTAAAAGCCAACACTTTAAATCAGTCTTTCCATATTGGTGGCAATATGTGTGGTATGTTCAAATGAGCAGTTTACTGACCAAAGCTGCAAATTGGTTTTGTGTGCCGTATCTCCCCCCTGAACAGTTCCTGCTCCTGACCTGACAGGGCAGTCAGTGAGATGGATTGAGATTTAAGTATTTCAGTCATTCCTGAGAAATCAGTAGATTTAATGCCGAATGGAACAAACACAGCTTCTTCCAAATTCCTTACGAGCAATGCATGTGAACCGCAGCAAAGCAGTGGCACAGAAGTAATTAAACGACTTGGCCGGTAAGCCAAGAGTAGCTTCATTTACATTTGCTTGGCCTCAAGCATCAGTGAGATTAACGTGCCTTTGGGAAATCTGAGAGCTGTCATAGGGCGTGCGGAGTCCTGCGGAGTGGGGATAATGAGTCTGGCATCATGTTCAGGAATTAGGTAAATCCTGGGGTGTGGTATGCATCTATGAAGTGTGTGGGTAGTAAACGTGGTGCTGTGCTTCAGCCTAAGTACCAAACCGTTTCAGGGCTGAAACCCAACTAGGCAAGTTTCCTGCTGTATGTGTGTATCTCCTGGAGTCAGGCTGGCAAAACAGGATGCAGTAGCTTGTGGGAACCAGTGTAACACAAAACAAATAATATTGTCTAAAGCAAACATGCATTCTTGAAATCAGTTTTCTCTCTAATATCTGTAACGGCACAGCATGTTCTGAGGAGTTTGTTGTGAAGTGCTTATCATCCCTGACTGCAAGGACAGTAACTAGCCAGGGCCAAGTCCTCAGGGACTCCCTGGGGTGAGGCAGCCCCTGCTCTGCTGGCTGCACTGCCTTCTGCTGCCCCAACGTGGGGAACCACTAACATCTACGGTGTTCCCCCAAGACAGTGAAAATGTCCACATCGTGTGCAGGTTTGACTCCCTTTAACTGAAGTCCTTGACCTGAAATGTCAAAATGTGGCTTTGGTTTTGAGGGGAGGATATTCCTCACACACTCTGTACTTACATTATAGGGTTTAAATAGTTGTTTAATTCAGGTTTTCTCAACTGATTTATGGCTCGGGTTAAAAGTTAGCTGATGTACTGCTTAGTAGCAGTAATGGCACTTACTTGCCTGAAGAAATCTCAGTATTATGAGCAAATAATGTGCAAACATCATTAACAAATCCCATGAGAAATGTATTTTTTGAGTGTCTGTAGATTGTTACTGTTGAAATGTATGAAGTGCAATACAGCAATAAGCTGAAAGTTATTAACCCAAGGAAGTTAATGTGCTAGTTCAAAAATTTGCCAAAAGCTTTTTTCCCCTCTTTCCTGAAGACAGTTTTCCAAGCAGAGTACCCCAGCAGATGGCAGCAGGATCAGCCCATCTCTGTGTGCTCTTGCAGCCTGTTGTGCACCTCAGCTCAGTTACATGTGCAATGCCACACCTACACTCAATGCTAGAAAAGGTAAAGATGCTACGAGAGACTAAATAGACAAAATAGATAAGCAGTAACTTGTATGGGCAACAACTTGTCTGGGAGTAAAATCAGACCAAATCAGATACTGGATTTAAAAAGCAGTAATTCTGAGCTGCAGTGATATCCCATCATAGATTAGAAAGACAGCAAAAATCTATTACAGCTGTATTATAGAAGGAAGGGAGTAAGACTGAAAATACATGAAGAGTAAAATTGGAAGACAGGAAATGAAATTGACCAAACCTAAGGCCAGACAGGACGGGTGGGAGAACACACTGCCTGGTACCAAGAGCATTTAACTTGTAATTAAAGGAAATGGCAAAATATGTTTAGCATTTCTCCCTCTGGATTTGACTGTCTACAAACTTCATCATGTTTAGAATGGCATAGTAAGAGGTGCCTGTCCCTAGCCTTGCTGATGATATGTGACCACCTCACAGCAGACTGCTGTCTCTTAAAGGGACACTGGAATGGTTTCCATGTGGTAAAGTTTGCAAAATATTTTTTGGATAGTATTAATTAGCATTTTTGGATAGTATTACTAAAACTAACTTGTTTTCTATGTCTACGTGTTTCACAAAATAGCAGCAGGCATTAAAAGAGATGTGGTAGTCTTTGTTGTGATACTTACTGAAAAATCCAAAGTACATGTCCTTGGATAGCCAGGGATCCCTGGGCTCAAACGCCACACTGTTTCCAAGTGATTAAATAGTTTTCCATCTGTGCATGATGCCTAAAATGAAGTTTAAAAAGTCAGTCTACAATTAGGCTTTTACAGATGTGACAAACTGGTATCACTGAGGTTAGCATTTGCACTTTGTTAGACAGGGAGGGCCACAGCATGGTTCAAACTGTTCTTACACACAGCCAGCATGAACTCCCATGGCACAGTGCTTACTATCCTTACTATCTCATACACCTCACAGTAGCCTTTCAGTATCTGAAGGGGCTCCAGGGAAGCTGGAGAGAGACTCTGTGTTAGGAACTGCAGTGACAGGAGAAGGAGTAATGGGTTCAAATTGAAAGAGGGGAAATCTAGGCTAGATATTAGAAAAAAGTTTTTTCCTGTGAGGATGGTGAGACATGGGAACAGGTTGCCCAGGAAGGTAGTGGATGTCCCAACCCTGGCAGTGTTCAAAGCCAGGTTGGCTAAAGCCTTGACCAACCTGCTCGGGTGAGACGTGTCCCTGCCCAGGGCAGGGGGAGTTGGGACTAGATGATCTGAAAGGTCCATGCCAACCCCTAAAATTCTGATTTACTGAAGTCCTTTTAAGGGAGAGGAAAAGTTTGTGTGTTGTCATAAAACAGATGTGTGACATGATGCTAGCTACATACCAGGAGTTTGAACAACTCTGCTTTAAGCGAAGGATATGGATATTTACTGGGGTTTTCAGGTAGATAAATAAAATTAATTGTCAAAGTGACTTTAAATCCACTCTTCTATCTTCTTAGCAATATCCTGAATAACAAGCTCTTCAGCAGATCCTACATTTGTCTAAGACTTCTCATACTAATAGTTAAAATTGCAGGAAAAGTAATGACAGATCTCAACTTCGCTGAAGCATCAGAAGCTACAGTTGTCAAAGATAACTTTTCAGTGAATACTGATTTTTGGACTAAATTATAACAAAAACCCAAGCTAAAACCTATTTTTTTAGTGACTGCCAGCTTCTCCAACAAGGGCAAATTAAAAAGCAATTCCCCCCCATTTTTTTAGTGACTGCCAGCTTCTCCATCAAGGGCTAATTAAAAAGCAATTCCCCCCGTCCTCTCCCATTTGGCAGGTTATGTTGTAAAAAAACATTCAAATTCTCCCCAGTTTATTTAAAGTCTTCAAAGAAAAGCAACACAAGTTTTGAGCCACACAAAGAAAATTTGTCAGCATCAATTTTGTTTTGAAGCAAGACTTCCCTGGAATATTTGAATTTCAACAAATAAAAGTTAAGGAAAGTCAGGGGTAAGAGGAAAAAAAACCCAGAGTTACCTTAACTAAATGTGGTCTCACTAGGGTAACCACTGAGGTGTACCTCTCTACCACAGGAGGGAATCCGATCTCCAGCTGCGCTTTGCAGTACCCCGAGCGCTTCGAGAGGATGTCTGACTTCTTACACCAAGGAACAAACAGTTTGTAGTTCTCCACAACAGCAACAACTTCATACATTTCCTGCATGGAATACCTGGAAACAGAAACATGAACATCACACTTACAAGGGATTTTTAACTTCAAATTCAGTATGGATACTCTATATGTTTCAAATGAAACAGATCCTTTTCCAGCACAGCTGTGTCTTCATTTAGATACATCTTAGACATTTCACATTAAAAAATCCACACTTCATGACTACCAAGACAAGGTGTATCAAAACTGATGTACTGCATTTCATAAGGTTTAAACACAGGAACACTACCTTCCTTATTTTGGCCCAAACAAAAAAGCTTAGTTAAAACAGTTGAAAGAGATGCAATGGAAAAGCCTCCTACCATCACAGAATGGCTGAGGCTGGAAGGGACCCCTGGAACTCATCTTGTCCAGCCCCCCTGCTTGAGCAGGATATTGAAATCAGGTGGAATAACATCATGGCAACGTGGCAAAGTATTGCATAGCTATGGTTTTTAATTTTTAGTTCTGACTCAGAAACAGATGGGATTAAGCATGTGCTTCAGTTCCTTTAAGATGAAGCATATGCTGAACAACACTCAGCAGTGAGTACTATTGGACAAAGGCCCTTTTGAAGTGACTAGCAAGATCTGTTGCAGTTCAAGAACTATCATGTAAAGGAATGTTAAGCATAATAAAAAATTATACCAATAAATATTTCATGAAGATCTGTTGCAGTTCAAGAACTATCACGTAAAGGAATGTTAAGCATAGTCAAAAATTATACCAATAAATATTTCATACAATTGTGGCCCAGAGACTTGGGGGCAAACACCAGTTCATTATATGAACTGGTATTTTCCCACTGGCTCTAAGGATTTCTGTATCTTTTTCCATGTGCTTAAGTTTCTTTATCACACAATTATTTTCCTTCTTTTAATGAAAGAGGAAAATCTTGAGAAGTACAATGTGATGTAAGTGCAAGCATTAGCACATTATTTGGGACAGAATGGAATAGAGTTTTCACACCTGTTGGTTTATTCACGTTTTACTAGATGAAATTAATAGTGTATTACTCTCTTTCAAGGTTGGTTTTGTTTTGTCATGGTATAGAACAGTTATTTCTTCTGTTTTCTTATGGGCAAAGGGGTTTGGTATTCCTGCATTTTTAATACTCCATTCCAGACTGGAAAAATCTGATTTCTACAAACCCTGAAAGTCCAAATTCCTTTCTAGGTTCCAGTTGGGACAGTCATAGGGACATATCTTGAGGGATGCTCAGTCTTTTGTACTTGTAGTGTTTCTGATGAATTACAGTATTCACAAAATCAATAAGCATTTAAAGTCTCTTCCCACAGTTTCATACTAACCCTATAATTCTTCTTTCAGAATACTCTTTTCTTTTATTTACTAGTGGTGCAGCAACATTGAAGAAATTTCTTGAATAAGTGTGGCTGGGTAAAGGCACTTGCAAAGGAGAAGTTCTGCTCATCAGAATCCCACAGGAAGCCAAGTGCCTGAAACAGTGAAAATGCTTTTAGATGTATTTCATATCAGCAAAATAAGTAACGATGTATTCAGGTGAGACAATCTGTTGTACAACATTTGAGATAGAGTCAGGGGGAAAAACACTGGCTCATAATGACTTACAGACTGTCAGAAACACAAGGGAGACCTATTTCTTTTCCTTAAGAGAAACTAAAAATATCCCCCAGTCATGACAACAGTAACTGGCAGAGTGAAATGCAAAGGATCTCATCAAGCATTGGCTTCGTGGCAGCCTGAGTTCATGTACAAGTCCCATATGCACTTATTTTTGCAGAACAAGCTTTCTTAGCAGGAAAATCAAGGTGTAGCCTGTAATACTTCACCTTTTTGAGACACACAGGGAAGAGAAGGTTCCGCTTTGTACCTTCAGGTTAAACTGCTATAATCCTCTGCTGCTATCCTTCTCTTAAAAGGACAATTTCATTCTGAAAGGCCTTTCAGAAGGAGTGTTTTTTACCCAGCTTTCAAGCTTTCCTTCAGAAAACATCATCAAAACCCTGGACGGTGTGTTTTCATAAATAAAACTCAACAAATTACCTTTGAAAGCACCAGTAATTTTAAGATTGCACCTCACTGTTCTCTGTTTGTGAACATCTAAAATCTAACAAATATTCGCTGTGATTAACAGGTCTGTTCTGCTAAATTACTGATTTTTGCCTGGATCAAGTCAGCCAAGATGCAAAATGCAAAAAGCTCTGAGTTTTGGCACCAGGAAAGTAAAGATGCCACTACTTGCCATCAATGATTCTACAAACATAAGCTGAAGAATAACCCAGGTCTTTCATGGTCTAGTTAAACAATCAGGACTGTACTTGTGGATCCACATAGTAAAAAATGGAACCTAACTTCCCCACCTAGCATTAGGTTTGTCTTGGGGTGTTTTGGGTGGTTTTTTTTAAACACAAGGAATGGATGCCTTTATCTCACTAACCACCAACCACTAATTGTCTAGCAATTAGTTACCCGTTTTGAACAACTGAAATTAACAACATGTTCTTTAAAAATCAATGTAACTCAGAATTCTAAAGAAACACGGTAATAACCCATGACTGAGCACATCAGTTTATATGGTCACTGCATTAGGAGACAGGCAAATAAGAAATTGATATTAAATTTAGAGGAAAATAATCATCATTAGTAGCTGGTTAGATATTAAATTTAGAGGAAAATAATCATCCTTAGTAGCCGGTTAAAAACAATCTGTACTGACTTTTTAAAAACTGTTGTGATATGAAGCAAGGTGACTGCCAACACAGGTTATAATCACTGCAGTTGGAAAGGAATTATTTAAGACGGGACAGAAGTACTGTGTCAGAATGAAGAAAGGATAAGTCCACTTTAAAAACCTTCAGATAACAACTCTGCAGATGTTTGCAGCTGGGATGTGCATTTAGTGGGTTTTTTTCCACTCAGACTGTTAAGGAAAAGCATTGCTTTCCCAGGAATGCTGGAAGGGTGCCAGTAATGTTGTAGCTGCCCCAACCAGATTCACAGAATGTGAATTTGGACCAGACCTCATTCTGCACTGCTAATTTGCTTTCTCCATCAGAGGCTCCATACACTACACAGTCCAAACTAGTCACCAGGTTTCGTCTCTTGGTGTGTTTCTTACTGTAATGCTGTGCCAGTATGTTGTTTCATACCGTTTTATCTAAGCTTGTTTCAGCCACAAGGCTGAAAAAGAATCCCTACAAGCAATCTCTTAGCTGCTGTAAGGGATGTTTCGTTTCACAATGACGTTGCCGTTCGAGGAAGGCAAGGTTAGGAGGTTATAGTGCTAACAAGCATGGTGAGACTCCAGCCCTGTCCCGATTTCATCTGAAGAGAAGCAGATGCTGTGAGAGTGTGCTGGGCTTGGTCCCAGCTCAGGAAAGCAGACCTGTCACAAAAGCAGAGGTCCAGGCCATACATGTTTTTGTGAACCTGACCTGGGCCACAGAAGAAAAGCCAAGTCCATGCTGGAATTCAGGCACACCTGTCTGACAGCAATGATCCCCTGACAACAATACCAACCATCTCCACTCACACTGCTCTGACTAGCATCATTAACTCCTGCCGCTCTCTGCTCTCTCTCTAAGCATCTGGGCACTGATCACAGGATCACTCCACTTCCCTGACTTGAAAAGGAACCATTTCTGGTGTATGACATGCACATCTAAGTGATCTACAGTCAGTGAATTATTTTTTTAATATCTACATAGTTTTCTAAGCCTAAAGGTTAACATGTTTTTGAAAAAGGGATCTCTTAACTCCTCACTCTAAAGACTGAAATTAGTGCTAAGAGCATGCCAGGGCAACTGTGTTTACTGTACCCCAAGTGATACTTCCATAGGGTTAGTGATGGCCATTTCATGGCCTCTGAGACATGAGTTGATCCCATTTAAATTCTTTGCCAACAGATGACCATATCCCCAAAAAACGAGTGTGTCAGCAAGTGTCCTCATGAGCATCTCAGTCTGAATGAGCACAAGAGGGTAATTTACCACCTGAGCCCTTGAAGCCTGTTACTCAGCACAGTAAGGGCTGAGCTGGCAGCAGGTACAGCTGCACACCAGGGACACCGCAAGAGCAAAAGCACCCCCAGCTCTGAGGCTACAAATAACACAGCTCTGGTTTGGATACAGCTTGTGCCTGCTTAAATCCAGCTGCCAATATTCCTGCAACTTACACTAGAAACATTTTCAAGCTCAGTTTGCAAGCAGTTAATGGGTTTCTTTATACTGCACACCCTTCCCAGCAATTGGTCTTGCCCTCGAGACTCTAATAAATTACTTTTAAAAATAGCAATTTTATTTACCAGGGCTGAACTAATATAATATTATAAACATCCTTAAGATGATACCAGAAAGGATATAACAGTCAGAAATGTGATCCAATGTTTCATTATACTACCGTACACTAATAGTTATGCCAAATGACTGCTTAAAATTTGACATCACAAACAAATCAATCTCTATTCCATTTTTCTACTGTTTTTATGAGGATGACAGTAAAACTTTGAATTTAACAAAGAAACACAGCAGCACTGCAGTAACAGTTGAACCATTTTTTCCCCTAAGATTTTCATGTTGCACTTTCTCATCTGCTTGCTTTTTTGCTTTCAGTTCCAAGACCAATTCTTCTCACAAAGCATATTGTTTTCATCAAGCTGTTCCAACCAGCCTTACATGTGCTCAGGGGAGGAGGAACTTGTTGCATTGTCTAAAGTGGAAAACATCCGGGTGTTTCGCTCAGTTTTTAATTTCTTTGATGAATTGCTGACAGTTATGCAGCTTCCGGGAAAAGAAGAGGCAAGTTTATAACCTGAAAAACAGTCCCTCTGCCATGGAACCACTTCTGGTGTATGATATACACAGCTAAGTGATCTATAGTCAGCGAATTATTCTTTTTAATAGCTACATACTTTGAGATCGCTTTTTTTCCAAAAACATGTTAACCTTTAGGCTTAGAAAACTATGTAGCTGATGAAAAACAAGTTACTGCCTATAGATCCCTTAGATGAGCACGTCATGCACTGGTCCCGCGGCCGCGCGCAGAGGAGCCCACGGGGACCGGGAGCCGAGGGGGGTGGCAGTGCCTTGCTGTCTCC